GTTGTCGTCGAAGTTAGGGTAGTTAAGTTAGTGAAGTTAGTTAAGTTAGTCAAGTTAGTTAAGTTAATCAGCGTCTACTTTTTCGACATCTTCACGTCAAAAAAGGCTCAAAACCCTCAGTTTTTTACACTTTTGACTTCGAAATGTGCTTCGCGCCACAACGGCGTGCACTTTTTCGACACTTTTTCGACATCTGAACCTCCAAAAGTGGTCCGAGACCGTCAGTTTTTAACACTTTTGACTTGGAAATGTGCTTCGCGCCACAACGGCGTGCACTTTTTCGACATCGCAACTTCCAAAAGTGGTCCGAGCATGGTGTGTTTTGTACATTTTGACTTGGAAATGTGCTTCGCGCCACAACGGCGTGCACTTTTTCGACATCTCAACTTCCAAAAGTGGTCCGACCATGGTGTGTTTTGTACATTTTGACTTCAAATGTGCTTCGCGCCACAACGGCGTGCACTTTTTCGACATCGCAACTTTCAAAAGTGGTCCGCTCCTCTAGTGTTTTGTCCATTTTGACTTGGAAATGTGCTTCGCGCCACAACGGCGTGCACTTTTTCATGTCTCATCTGGCCAGCTGGCTCCGCCACCCGCCGCTTTAGCGAGCCTACTTTTCGACCCTCCGGAGCCACAAATCATTGGAAAAACACAGTGTTTCGCGACTTTCCTATCTTTTCGCGCATCTGCATCTTCTTTCTTCTGACTCTTTCTCTTCTACTCTTCTTTCTTCTAATCTTTCTCTTCTCTCTGCCTCTTCCCTGCTCTGCTTTTCATCTGTCCATATTGTCGGAAGTTTGACTTCTAAACTTCCTTCGATAATTACAGCACCTACAAACATCTAAACTTATCTATGATATCCATCATTCATCCAAAAGGAATAGATGTTTATGTGTTGATAGATGTTTGTAGATGTTTAATCATCATATTATGAATCATCAAAAATACATCATCTATAGAATCTACAGTATAGTTATCCAGTAATCATCCATAAATCGACATGATCATTACAAATCATAAGTCCCAATTTAAAATGGTTCTATGTTATATCCATCGATCATCAATTATCAATTATAATCAATAATGATCAAATTGATCAATACTCAATTCATCCATAATAATTAAAACTGATCACAATCATGAATCTATTGTTGCTCATCATTAATATATGCATCAACATGGATATAGATGAATCATCCATAAATATCATAAATTGATAATGTCCAGACATCCATCCATAATCAAACCGCCTCCGCATCCAAACGTCGCCGCTTCTTGGGAGGATCGGAGTTCTCCAAGTCCACGGAGGTCGAGACAGTCTCGGGCTCTCCCAAGCGACCAGCCTGAGCCCGGGACGTTGATTTCTCTGATGTTTTTTTAATGATGTTTGATGGATTATGTATGGATTTTGTTGAGCTTTGCTGATATTTCATGATGTTTTTAATGATGTTTCATCGTGTGCTGGATGTATTCGGATGGGTTTTATTTCATGATGTTTAATAATGTTTAAGATGGATGTTGATCATTTTTATGGTGGTTTCATGATGTTTTGATGATATGTTTGATGATGTGTTGATGAATTGGATATCCGTGCCTTTCAATTTGCCGAGCCCAACAGCTTTAACGTTTCCGAGCTCCGAGCCTCACTGTCCTTGACCAACTCTAAGAACTCAAGCAGCGCCTTGGAGAGGAAACCGGTGATATCAAAGCATATTGATACCATTCAACCAAATAGATAGAAAATGATAGAAGGATTATATCATGATATACAAACAGATATCATAATATCATGTTATCTCTTATATGTATATGACATACATGTGACATACTTATATACAATTATATAATATATTATAATATTAGATACATCACATATCTATATCATATTGCACGTGATTCCTCATCATTCATGACAAACAGACGAAGAAATTCTCGGTTTTTAAGCCTCCTCAAGGTCGCCATCATCTTTCACGCGCCAGCGCACAAAGCCCTCAGCCTTGGATGTTCTCAAAGGAGTCAACTTTAAACAACTTGGTGTATCTATTATGTGATAATATGGGATAATGTGGGTATATACTATGCATAAAATGTAGATATAAATATAAAGATCAATTCATGAATATGTGTATTATGTGTACATATCTGTGTGTGATTATTTGTAGAGGAATGAATTAAAATTGCATCATATAGCTTTCTAATTAGAAGTTGGATTGTTCGATTTACCTGGTTTGTCTCCCCCCCAGAACCTCCCACTGCGCCTCCATCGGAGGCTCAAAGCGTTGTGCAAAGCCACTGATGACCTGGTTCAAAGAATTTGCGTATCCAAATTGACGGCAAAGATATTGAAGCTACACAGTGTAAATTAACATGTTTCATCAAATTGAACATACAAAAACAAAACCTCATCATTCTAAGCGAACTTGCCTCCAGACTCTTATCTTCTGGAGGCAGAGTGCGGTGTCCAAACCGTTGTAGGACCCGTTCACCGCATGTTGCCTCTGGAATATCCAGCCAAATGCAAGCCTTGGATCTTGGCGCAGAGGGCGCAACATGTGACTTTTGCTGCCCAGTGGCTGCTCCAACTTCGTAGTCCTTTGCAAGCTCCAGCCAAACCTTGAGATCGCTTGAGATAAGGTGAAGTCTGAAACTTCGAATAGAAAGACAATGATCTTTCACCCAAGATTTTTTCCCCATGTGGGACCATTTTTGAATAGGAAAAAACATGGTCGGGTTCTACAACGAGGTCCCTCCACTGTCGTCTGGGGGCTCGTCTTTGGAGTCGGGTGCAGTTGCATCGATCCACGACCAGACGTCGACTTTCCGCCAAAGCATCTCTGACAGCTTGGACGCAAGACTTGCCTTGCAGCGTTTTAAATTTCATGGATTCCATAAGGTATAATATGTATGAGTTGATAGTGTAGCCTGGTATTCAATGGTTTTGACGATTGTTTAAAATAAATTGCACACTCCGGAGCGCATAATTTATTTGATTTAAATAAGGCCCAAAACAAATGAAAACCAGACTAAACTATTCTCTTTGATATCGACGGGATGCAAATAAAACGTAATGTATGTATGTATGTATGTATGTATGTAATGTAATGTAATGTAATGTAATGTAATGTAATGTTATGTTATGTTATGTTATGTTTTGCTATGTTATGTTATGTTATGTTATGTTATGTTATGTATGTATGTATGTATGTATGTATGTATGTTATGTTATGTTATGTTATGTATGTATGTATGTATACTTATACTATATTATCCAAGTGTACTATATATATATATACACATAATTGCATAGAAAACAAACCTCCAGGTTGCAGAAACGTAGAGTTTTTGTAGCGACTGCCAAGTTGCGATCCCCCAAGTTGTCTTGGTTCACGACATCGTAGCCTTTCCCAGCTAGGCGCGCGGCCAAAGAGCTCTTTCCGGAGCCGGGTAAACCCACCAGGATCAGCATCCTGGGTGATGTTGTGAGTTTATGTGAGTTTTACTTAGGCTTTAGAGTGACATGTGGAGACGTCCAATCATTGGACTCCAATGGTCCAATTGGTCCAATCCAATTCTGAGACATTTACAGAGCAGTCGCATTGTCGGTGGCAAATTGAGAAAACGAGCTGCTGGAATAAAGGTACCCGTGAGTTTGAGAAAAGTCATCGTCACGGGAAAAAAGAGTAGTTCTCACTTCTCACGCGACACATGTACCTTGGAATCTTCACCCTTCAGAATGCCTTTGGCACCTTCTATATTTTGCTTCTACAATGAACCCTATCTGCATCAAAGCATCTTGAAAGGTAGAGACCTGAGCTTTAGGACAGCCTTTTGTCAGTTCTGGACAACCGCGGCAGCAGAGACAGCAGTTGCTGTGCCAAGAGACATATCCAGCTCTGGAAGCATCCTCGCCTTCAAAGACCTCTGGCCCTTCGTCTGGAGCCTTGCGATATCCCAATTTTTCTCCAGACACGGATAAACAAGTTTTTATGTTTTTGTCCAAAACGCACTTACAGAAACTTGGAGTAAATGAATTGTAAATGATCTGTCTGAATCCTCTCGGTTTAACCTGTTCGTCAAGCAGAATTGTTCTCTCGGCCTCCAAAGGCTCTACGGGAAGGTCGTCGTCAAATATGTCGTCATCCTGACAGGGACATGTCTTCTTTCAGGGTCGAATTCGTCACAAACGCGATGCACCAAGAAACGCTTGGGAGCACCTAGTCACTCACGACGTGAAAAAATGAGTTGCCCCCGCGCCTCCTTGCACTGCTTTCGGAGAGCACTCTCCCATTGAGTCCTGAAAGATCTGAAAGTGATGAATAAAAGCGATGTCTGCAGAAAATTTTCTCTCACAATCTTTCACAGATATGTAAGTATTTGCAGGTAGTGTGACATAGTGTGACATAGTGTGACATAGTGTGACATAGTGTGACATAGTGTGACATAGTGTGACATAGTGTGACAAGGAAAACACCTTTCCTAGTTCCTTTGGATTGATATCCGCCCCCAACGAATGGATCGTGAACACAGCTTTCACCCAAAGCCAGTAGCCGCTCCATAGCTATCCTACTGATATCCTACTGTTATTTCAGTGGTTGGTCAGCCTGTCCGAGGCTCAAGTCTTGATAGGCTTCGACTGGATGGACTCGTGCTGTGCCTTGGCTCAGGCGTTCCATCAGCTTACCCAACATAGGACTTCTGGTAAAGCACGACATGTGCATGACATTGCATGTCGTCAATCTGTTGTCAAGTTGCTTTCAGCGCAAACTGAGCCATTCTTCAAGTTGCTCTGGGATTTGTCCTCTTCTTTCCTTGCACAGCAAATTTCAATCAGCTGAGAACGGGCCATTGTTCTAACCTCCCACAGAACCGATGCCAAGTCTCACCCAGCTGCAGGTTGGCCAAGAACTACCCCGAAGCTCTGGAAAATAGAACCTGCCGTAGCAAATTTGGCATCAAACATTGAAACATCCAGAAATATCAAGATAATAGAAGAAATATCCAAAGTATCTGCATCATTTTCCATTCGAGTCAATCCAAACTTTGATGGAAGATGATGGCCTGATCAGATTGGGCAGCTCTACCACTGCAGCGCGTTGACATGATGCTGGCCCTCGCAACCAAATGGCACCCTGGTGCAGCAAAAGACTTGGAGAAGGATATGGACTGTTCATTGTTACATATTCTTTGAGAATCCTTTCAGCTTGGAATCCTAGTTTTCACGAGAGGTTGGCCATATTCAATCTCTACACATTTACTGTATTTCACATTTCCAGCGTTTTCACAACTCAGAGAACTCCCGCGGAGCGAAAGATGACTGCAACTGCCGAGTGTTGGCCTCCTCCAACTCCTCCAACTCCACAGAGACGCCGAAGTTGTTGCCCATGATGCCTGGTGGCATCACAAGTCCACACCATACAGCATAGTTCTCTGCATGCACGTGCACACAATACATGCATGCATGTGAACAGTATGTACATATAAAAGTATATATACACGTGATATCACATGATATGTCTATATCTATATGCATTATATTCATATCAGAAATGCACATATTAGAATACATACGAACCTGTGTCAATAGAGGTTCTCTCCAATAACGAACAAGAGAAACTCCGGCTAGCCTAGGTCCTCACGTAGCGCAGCAACAAGTGGCACAGCACGACAGGAGAGGTCCAAGCCCAACGGTTGCCAAACATGGCAGCCTTGAACCTGTCGAAGCAGCCACACCAATCTGGTCTCTGAGATTTTACCAGAATGTTCAACACTCAATTAGCAGAAGTTTACTCTGTGTGTTGCCATATCATATTTGGCGGACTTTTGCTCCAGTCAAACACCATCATTTTTTTCGAACAAAAAACCTCATAACGATGCAGCCGAAGAACTTCATCTGCTCTTGCTACAAGCACCGTAGCACCATCTGCGAATTCTCGTCCAAAGGCCTGCAGCAAGGAGAAGTCCCTACAGCAACTGGCTGTCACTTAGCCTCGCCTCAGTCAACTCATCTTCCGAAAGATCTCCCCATAAAGCCTCACCGTCGACACTCAACCTTAGGTCGCGAGATCTACTGGAGAGATTGATATCATCAAATCTCATCATACATATCATCATCAGCCATCAATAGCCATCATTACTCATCAAAAAAATCAACAGCTCAGCCAGCATCAGCACACAATATCACACAGTATTTTTTCCTCTACGTGAACCCTGCAATGCCTGAAAATTGGCTCCCGGCAAGACGTCTCCGGGTTTCAAGTCTTGGCCAGGCTGATCCTGGTGAGCTTAAATCGATCATCCATTGATTCCATTGGCAAAACCTCAGCGTCGCCTCCACCTGATCCACGTGGTAGCCGTACGAATGCGCCTAAGGCGCGCCGTGAGACATTGGCGATGTCAGCTGAGCTGAGAAGGAGCGTTTGCAGCTGAGGTGAGGACAGTCATTTCCAATCCAGCTCCGGTTTCCTTAGCATAACCATGGGATAAGCATTGGAGAACCGTTGGATAACCGGATAATCCTTGCAATGATGCAGTGTCTTGCAGTTTGTTGGATAATCATTGGATCATCGGTGGAATATCACTGTGAAATCTGCGTATGATGATCATTGGATCGTCCATGGGTCCAGATTGGATCATCATTAACAATATTGACATATATCAACGCTCAGAAGCTCATAGAAGCTCCAACTGTTGGTGCTGAAATGAAAGCTGAGAGATCACATCTTGCTCTTGGTCAATGCATCCTGTGCACAAATCGAGAAGTGTACCTTTGGCATCGCGTGTCTCAAGCCCAGCGGACTCACCCTTCAGTGGGCTCTGCAGCACATCGATGAGTCCAGAAAAGGGCGTCTATCGGTTGTGCTCCTGCTTGTTTGTTTCCAGGGTAAATTCAGGTAGCAATCCGAAGTATCCCACCTGGGATCGTTGTTGGCTAGATTACCACCTAAGGGTGGAATTGCGGGCTGATGGCATGAAACAAGAGGAGCTTCCTTTTCTGGGTCCTAGATTAGCGTCAAACCTCTCTGGCCGTGCCTTTGATGCAATTTCCGACATTGAGAGAGAAAAACTACGGAAAGAAGAAGGATGGAAATACCTGTTTGATTTTTTTGCAAAGGAAAAAGTGGACCTCCTTGGGGATGCTTTCAATGAATTCTTCGTCAAAAGAACCATCTACCGCAAAGATGGTGAAGAATTTGTCGGCTACGAGCCGCGCTTCAAGATGTTGATTCGCAAGCTGGAGAAAGCTCTGAAGGAGCCAGGTTCTCAGGGGCAGATCCCTTCAGAACTGTTTGGATGGTATCTTCTCAACTCTTACATGAGGATGGAGCCTAGCGATGTGGCCAACGTGCGAGAGCGCCCTGAAAGTTACAAACTAGACCATGTGATAGGCGCTTTGCAGAAGATGTGGAGCGGCGGCGGTCTTGCGGCCAAAGATCAACAGCCCAAGATGAAGAAGAAGAAGAAGAAGAATGCGGCATCTCCTGCTCTGCGATGAGGAGGAGGAGGAGATGCTGACCCTTGAGCTCTCTGAGGCAGCAACCACGTACCAAGATGCTTTAGCATGCTTTCTCAATGATCCAGAAGACAAAGATGTTTTGGCAACGTTCAAAGAAGCTCGCAAGGCTTTGGACAAAGCCAAAACAGGAGGGGCTTCTACCTCACCAGCAATCCCAATGCTCCTAGATACAACTCTGGCATGCGAAGACGGTATGGGACTGCAGGTAGCAGCAATCCTGATGCGAACAAAGATTGCATGCGATGTGGCAAAAGAGGTCATATTGCACGAATTGCCCACAGAAACCCTCGCAACGAAAAGGGTATGGCAAGGGCAAAGTGTCTTTTGCGAGCCGGGATGCATTTGGCAATCCACGGGCGCAACGCATTTCCATGTGGGCTTTGCAGTCGTAGACAGCGGCGCCTCCGACAGTGTCATTGGTGTGGACACCTTCCAGTTCGTAAGATGTTGAACATGAAAGAGCATGAAATTCTTCGTATCACCAAAGCCATTTATGGACTCCTCAACACCCCTAAACAGTGGTTTGAGGCTTTGTCTTCTTTTCTTGTTGAAGATGGTTGGATCCCCCATGGTTTGGATAAATGGGTTGAAGATGGTGTTATTCAGGGTGTTTGGGGGATACACGTGGATGATGTCCTTTGTGGAGGAAAAAGCAAATCCTATGAATCAGCCCTCGACCGGCTTCAAAATCGTTTCTCTTTTGAGTCTTGGTCGAATACCCAAAGAAACCACCATCACATATTGCGGTATGGAAAACGCTCAGAAGTCTGATGGTAGTTTGTTTCTTTGCCAGGAACGTTTTGCCTTAGGCATTGACGAAATTGTTTTGACAAGGAAAGGAAAGACGACACACTGGCAGAAATAACTACAGAAGAGAGGCGAAGAATGCGACAAACTCTGGGGCCTTCTGGTTGGAGAGCCACGCAGAGTGCGCCATGGTTACTGGCACCGGTTTCCCTCTTGCAAGGGGCTGCTGAATCTTCCGTATGCTTTAGCTGTGAACAAACTGGTTCTTTTACAAAGAAAATATTTTGATCGTGGTCCTTATTTTCCTTGTTTGAATGGTGATGTTACTGTTGTTACTTTCACTGACGCTTCATGGGCCACCAGGGTTGACGGTTCTTCACAGGGAGGTCAAATTACGATTTGAGTCCACAAAAGGCATTCTCTACGGTGAAAACACTCCTTTCTGCGTTTTGGGTTGGTCAAGCAGAAGGTTAAAAAGGGTTGCGAGATCCAGTACCAGAGCGGAAGCGCAAATGTGTGCCAACGGTTTGGACTTCCATGAGTTCTCTAAACTTGGGTGGACTGATCTCCAGGAACCAACCAAAGTGGATCTCCGGGTTGCTGATGAATATTTACGTACCTTTGAAAGTGGACTTACTGTTGATGCCCGAAATATTTATGATGGCCTTTCCAGGGTAGAGAGTTCAGGGTTGCAAATGAAAGAGAAAAGGACAGCCATCGAGTTGTTGGCCATCAAAGAAAGGCTACACCAAGCAGCTGTTGACCTTAAATGGTTTGGCGGCGAACAAGAACTTGCGGACGGTCTAACTAAATTTTGAAAGCTCTGTATCAAGGGTGTTGCAGGATCACTTACGACCCGAATTTCCTGTCTGCTAGAAAGAAAAGGGCTCAGAGATATCAACTTTGTGGTGATGAATATTAGTTGCACTGTATATGGTCACTGGACACAAGAGCAACATAAAATTGTGACCGATGCTGAAGTGAAGGCTGAGAGATCACATCTTGCTCTTGGTCAATGCATCCTGTGCACAAATCGAGAAGTGTACCTTTGGCATCGCGTGTCTCAAGCCCAGCGGACTCACCCTTCAGTGGGCTCTGCAGCACATCGATCAGTCCAGAAAAGGGCGTCTATCAGTGGTGCTCCTGCTTGTTTGTTTCCAGGGTAAATTCAGATAGCAATCCTTTGCTCCTTGCTTCGCAGGGGGATTTCATCATGATTTCATTCATCGCATGTCATCGCATGTCATCGCATGTCATCGCATGTCCATTTCATCCGATCCGATGAATTGGTGTCGAGCCACTGCATCGACACGCAAAGTCACACTGCGACAGTTGATGGCAGCTGAAGGTGGTGGCAGTGGTGTCAGCGTTGGCAGCTTGCCAGAGGGCCTGTACTTGGAAGCTTCGAGGAACAAATGATGATGAGAAATGGATAGAAATGGAAGGAAGTAGATGAAACCAAAAGAACCCCTGTGAACCGCAAATTCTCCTATCTTGGCAGTCCTGGTATCCTGCAATTTTCTTGCCATGCCTCTGGTCCATTGCTTCCGAGTTCTCGAGACCAAACTGCCCAGCAGCGACCTTTGTACACCAAATGTTTCTTGCAAGTTTGGTGGTTTAACCACTATAAATGGTGACTATAAATGGTGATTTAATGGTGAATAATGGGATGTTAATGGGATGTGCTTTCTCACTTTTGAATGTTTGAATTGTATTGAATTGTCTTGTTGTGCTTTACTCTCTGGCCGCTTGACGAAGACATGCAAGTCAATTGCTTAGTCACACAACTGGATCTACCGGCAACGGATCAGTGGTTTTCCAAACAAGTCGCAGTATCAGCAACAGCCAACACCATGGTCTCGAGTTGAAGTTGTTCAAGAAGTGCAGGATTGTCCTGTCAAGCTGTGGACACAAAATGACACAAAGCTATGTTTATATAGTACCCTCTGGTAAACTAACATAGCTATTGAAAAATGCCATGTATAGTGGATTTTCCCATCAAAAATGGTGATTTTCCATAGCTATGTTAGTTTACCAGAGGGTAGCAGCTGGCAGCTACAGGCCTTCTGTTTGTTGATGCAGTAGAGATGGACGTGTGGTGTCTCGTCCTCTGCCGGAGGATGCATCATTCACAGGGCAGGTTTCCACAATGCATTGGTCATGGCGAATTCCGGGACCTCCCAGGTGGAAATCCTGAATTATTCACAGACGCCCATCCCCAACTGATCACCAATAAGATTAAAACGAACAAGATCCAACTACGTCCAACATCGTCCAACAAATTTGTCAACTTCCTCTGTCAAAAAATTGGCCCCAAATCCATATTTTCTATATGGCTATGGGTCAAAAGCCTGGTAATGAACCCAAAAATAGATGGTTTTTATTCATGTTCATCCCATTCCAATAGAGAAAAAAATGGGATTTTGACCCACTCCCATATGTTTCTCAGCGGTTTCCTCATTATGACCACTTTGGGATATCCCCATTGGACCCGTCTCCGCTCGGTCCTTCCGTTCGGAGGCTGCAGCGCATCGAAAGGCGCTGCAGCTGGCAGTTTCACTGCGAGGGGCCATGCAGTAGCGGAGCCGCACGGGGTCCTCCCGGAAGTGTTGGGGGAAATCTCGACTTTGAGAACGTGCTGAGTGTGAGCAAACAATGATATGCATATGCATGTGTGTGAGCATGTATATACAGATAGATATAATGCGCAGATTATATATATATATATCATTATATATAATTATACATATGTATATATATATATATATATCATGTACCTAGATTTATATCTATATTTCATTCAATGATATGTCAGCCAGTTGTTTCTTGTGTCCTGGAACGCCTCAGTTGATCAAATCCTTCTTCACCAGTCCTTCTGCAAGGCAGACAGCAGGTGTTCGGCGCTGGTTGCCTGTCCGGACAGGACACATCGTTCAAGGGTCTCAAAATGCTCAAGACAAAGATAAAAAGCAGAAATGCAAATCACAAAAACATATCATGTAAATCAAACATCTGAATCATCAGATTCAGCCTGGCGCTTGTTCATCTGTCATCTGCCAGAGTGAATTATCAGAAACGCAATGCTCAAATATTCAACTTTGCGAAAGCGAACGACCACTTCAAAATAGACCTAACTTCTACCGAACGGCACTTTTCTTTCGAAATGACCACGTTCACTCGAACTTATGAAATTTGGCACAGTTCGAACATGTTCCATTCGGTCCAAACAATTCACTCATATGCCTCAAAACCTAGCAATCAAGGTTGGGATGCGCATGTTCAAAGTAACACATCCAGGAATTCTCCACACTTTTCAGAAACTCTCAATCTAACACATATGTATATATAATTATGTATATATACATTTAGATACATTTAGATACATTTGGATACAGCATCTCAAGCTTCAAACCTGTCAGATCAAGCGAGATCAAGATGCCTGATTGTGCTCCAGTCGCAGCCAGCAGGGGATTGCCTGTCACCCACGAAGCCTCTGGGTTTGAAACATGGCTTTCCCAACGTCCTGTTCGGATTCTCAGATGTTTTTGTCATTTTTTTTTCATGTTCTTTATGGCCATAACATGCCATAAATATGGGCCATAACGGCCATCAGCCTATCTTCCCAGCCAGGTCCCCTGGCGCCGGCCTCATCTAAATGCTCCACCTGTCTGGGGTAGACCTCCTTTGGATGCATCGCCAACACCGCCAGCAATGTGCACATCCCCCGATGGCGGATTTCGTTGTGCGACAAGTGGAGCTCCTGAAACGCGCGCGTATGGACCGAAGAACATCACTTGGGGTTGTACAGTAAATATCCAATTCAGTAAAATTCCATTTTTCATATACACTAAGTCTCGATACATATCAAGGAATCATGGAACATCCAGTGAAAAGTGGAAGAAAAAAACGTGGGATCTGATCTATTGATATGCATTCCATATACATACATTCATTTCTCTGTGTCATAATATCGATTTTGGGACCCAATTTAAATCCACTCCACACTATGGCATGTCAGCCAAAAGGGTCGCTCCGTTGCTCGAGCTGATATAAATTTCACTGTGCCGCTGAATTCGCAGGCGCATTCGGCTGAATTATGCCAAACTTATTGCAGCTATGCGTTTTCCGATATCCATTGGGCATCAGTGGGACATGCCATGCCCACAAAATCGAAAGGATCCCATTGTGACGTCTGTTCTCCTCGCATGCTTCGCTTTGATTCCATAAAATCTTCGCCAGGGCAACGCATGTCAAATCAGACACCTCAGAAAGTTGGGCCAGAAGATTTCATCGGTCGATTCCCTGCTGCTTTTGGCTGCTTTTTGCTGTTTCTATTCCACATTAAAAAAGCTGGAGAAACACAACCAATACCACCAGATACCACCAAAGCGTGTGCACGTTGATGGTGGGGCCTTGAGGGTCATGTTTCTGCCAAAAAAATGTCGCAGAGCCGTGCTATGAACACACAAATAATCACAAATGACACAACTCCTGAACATCTCTCATAAATGTGCCCGGTCACCCGATTCTTGTAGATTTTCAGGTTGCGAAGGTAGGTCGCACCTTTGCAAGCTAGATCATTCAGGATCAGTTTGGATACCAGCATCAACCACGATTAATCGCAGCATCGCCTGGGTTTTCAAGCAAGACCTGCAACAGCATTGCCATCGACTGATCCCCCAAGTTGTTCTCCGATGCATCCAGCCTCACAAGTTGTTGCTGAGTCCTGAAATCTATGCAGAGCTCACATGGAAAACCTTCAAAGTCCCATAAATCATTTCAAAGTCATCCGTGGATGTTTCCCATTTTGACAAGTAGCTCAATGTGGAGCGGCAATTTGGGATCTACATTGCACGCAATGAAGTCTCGAAGTGCCAAGGCCAGAGATGGGACATCTGCCTCAGCAACCAGCAACGCTGCAACATGCTATGAAGGACCTCCATGGACTTACCACATCTTCCCATGTGCCAAGTTGATCCAAGTTGCATCGTTTAAACCTGCTTTTCGTATGGAGATCGACAGTGAAGAATAGCTGTAGCTTTGCTCCAATGCCTCGACAGTGGAGTCGGGTAGTACAACCCCCATTTTCATCATCCAACTGAGGCGGCCGCAAAAAATCGGTCCCACCATGCCGGCATCAGCAACCGCCATGGGACTCAAGGAATCTCAAGGACTGCACGATTCATGATCATGAAAAACATGTTAAGGTCATATTGAGATCATACTATGCCTGGCTTTTAGTTATTCATTGTGATTCATGTTATTCGGGTTGGTTATGAAAAATATGAAAAAAACGAATGAAAAACAGATTGAACAACAACCGTCGCCAGTCTGCTGGTTGCTGGTCATTGCCGAGCCAAAGGACTGCACCGTGACTTGCTGCTACCGCTTCACGCTACGCCATGCTACACCGTCGTGTCGCGGTGTGCCTTTGGGGAGCCATAGCCACTTGATGCTTTGCAGTTTCACGCCATAGCGAGTACGGAGCCAGGCCACGTACCTCAGAACGCTATTGAAATTGTAGAGTAACAATGAGTAACAGCTAGACACAACGAAGACATGCCTAGACTCAGCTAAATCAGCTAACAAATAGCTGACAAATGCATGAAATCAGCCAGAGATTGCTGAGCAACCCCACGACCGACAGCTGCCCTGGTTCGGGCAGCTGCTTTCACCATTGCAACTGCAGTTCACCTGGCGTTCGATGTTATTGGTCCGCTTGCTCCCTGTTCGATGTTCGAGCACCGGCGACCCACCATGGCCCACACTTCACCAACGCAGTACGCTCCTTTTTCAAGCTGGACCACAAGTGGTGCACCACGTCTCCACTCTACTAGTCTAGTAGAGTCGCTTCGGAAGCCTCGTTGAGGCGCCTTGAAATTTGGAGTCCGAAAAACGGCTTCCACCGGTCCAGTGCATGGCAGGAGCAGCGAACTTTGCAAAATGGGAAGCTAAGGATGGATGCCATGATTATCATCCCGGCAGCTCAAAGGGTTTCAATCGAATTTCAGAAATGGAATGTGATGACAGATGTGACAGTGATATGACAGTGATATGACAGTGATATGACAGTGATATGACAGTGATATGACAGTGATATGGCAGTGTGTCAAAACCTGGTACCCCTAGTGAACATCAAAATAGCTGGTAAATGGATGTTCATCCCACTAAAAATGGTATCTATAGGTATTGATCCATACCCATATGCCAGGGATTATCGGATGTCGCATGGCATCGGGGCACCCTTCCCTCTTTGAGCCGTCCCACACTCAATCAGCCGTCGGCGTGAAAGAATAGGACTTACTGCTCTCGCAAGAGATTCAATGGAGGTTCAAAGTTGCAGCGATCTGTACATACTGCACACATGCAAAATACGTCAAAATACCGAAACAGACGCAAGCGATTCAGAATCTGCTGTTCGCAGTCAGACTCGCAGTGTCCAAAAACATCATCAGATCAGATCATCTCAGTGGTCGACATGGGGAAGTTCCTCCAGCACCTCCGATTTCAAATTCCGCTGGAGACGCAGACATCGATGCTGGGGCAGCCGCGGACATGGAGGAAGGAATTCGCCGCCGACCAAGTGCACCGGCCTGTGACGCGATGCAGATCTCGCAGAGATCAAGGAAGAGTGGCAGGAACAATGCTAAACAAATGTAAAAAAAAATGTAAATATAACATTAAGTAACATTAAAATAACATAAAATAACCACAATCAGCACAGGAAATATGTGGAAATACGTAACCATACTGTGGATTTAGTTTGGCCAAACACGAGGAATCTTTGGCTCGCTTTTGCCACGTCATCACACTCTGGTCATGCTAATTGTCCTACTTCACCACAGCGTTTCTGAAAATGATCCCCAAACCCTATGGGGATTCAATACTTGTGTGGTCTAATTGTCATTGATGGTTGTAGATTTACCAGCCCCAGTGAAAGACACTCAAAAACACCTTTGTTTTCTGGGATGTATTACCCTCTGGTAATTTAACATAACTATGGAAAATCACCATTTTTAATGGGAAAATCCACTATAAATGGCCATTTTCAATAGCTATTTTGACATAACCAGAGGGTAGGAAAACCAGCTGCAGCTGCGTCACCGGCAGACTCAGTCGTGCTGATGCAGGTGGCACTGGCAGGGTTCCAGAGGAAGAGGTCGGTGCTTCTGCTGCCTGCTGTCAAGATGGACAAGGTGGATCCACAAAGAAATCCTGGATGTATGGTGTTTCTTTGGTATGAAACGATATGAAAATTATGAGGCAATTAAGATATGTTGTAACATACATATATATAACATAATATGATAGCATATAACATACTATAATATAATATAACATAATATAATATAATATAACATAATATAATATAATATAACATAATATAATATAATACAATTTAATATAATATTATAACATATAATATAATATAATATGGTATAATATAATATAATTAAACATAATATAATTAAACATAATATAATATATTATAGTGTATATTATATTGTATTCTATTCTATTATATTTATGTCATATCATATCATATTACATTATAGATTGAATTTCAAAATACAATCTAATCTAATATAATATAATAATCCAATACAATAAAATACTGTAATCTGATATAATATAACATAATATAATATAATATAATGTAATGTAATGTAATATTATAATATCATATAAAATAATATGATATACTATGATATAATATAATAAAAATATATGATATTAGGATATATTATGATATATTAAGATTCGAAGTTCCTGAAGATTGAAGACACCACGAGGGCAAACCCAGTTCGGGCATCCGATGGCCGAGGCACTCTTGGCAACGTTACCGTGTCTGACCGGTCTTCAGCAATGGAACTGAAGTCCTTGGGAGCGTGGACCCGTGGAAGTGGAAAATGCTGATGTAAATGTGGTCAGAATGAAAAAGTGATTATAGCTGATACAGGATCTGCTTGTACTCTTTACAATTCTACATGTATGTGTATAATTGTGTATATATTCGTATATTGATTTATTGATTTACTATGATTTACTCATTTGTGTGGTGATGGTTTGCTGTTTTCTGCTCTTAACATGAAAATGTCAAGGCACTTGCGCTCCAACTACTAACTCGCCTTTGTCTCATTGGCGACTGAGCATGGCTGAGCGCTTGACAACGGAATTGTCTGGTGTCATCATACCCATTGCCACCTGGTATCGTCTTGGTCCGCTGGTTGAACTTTCTCTATCCAGCCACTGCCGGGCAGTGGCTGGATATACTCATGATTCACGATATCTTATCACGCGCATAAAATGAAACATATAAAGATATATAAAGCAATATAAAACATCTATTGCAAGCTATGGATGGCTATATTGTGTGCCCTTGAACCAAACATCCGATCTTCAGACCATTGGAAAGTACAGTACGCATGGCAGTCTCTTCACCTTAGGGAGATCGACCACATTGCACATTTGCCGCACTGGGGTGAAGGAAGTGCTACCAGAGAGCCTTAGATCCAGAAACATCACAGACATATCAGAAAGGCTAGAGCCAAGGGAGCCCTCAACTGATTTGAAGTTGCATCCCTAGTAGAAAACTCTGGAGATTGAGAAAGAAAGGATATCAAGATAAACATCAATTTGGTCCCAGTACTACTGTGGAAGTCCACTGGAAGCGCGGAATAATACATCTTGAAAGTTGATCAATTTGCGAAACTTGATCCATCAAGTCATCAAATACGTTCAAATACATCAAGATTTACATCAATTGTGGTCTCATATGGTCTCAACTGCGGGCAAACAGCTGGCGGAAGCGTCGCATAGCAGCTGAAGGTATTTCCTGGATCCCCTGAATGAGCTGCCAAACACCTCACAGCTGAAAATCGCAAAACATGGTCAAAACAGAACATCTAAACACATCTAAACCTTTGTCAAGACTATCTTTCGAGAATTGTCATCATTCCACATCTTGCCAGAACCATCCTTTTCCATCCAAAACCATTGATTTTCTCAACTCGCAGCTTCAGCACTGCCAGAACTGGACCGTGCTCTTGGCGATGGCCCCATCGAATCATCGCGTGCGTCTGCGGACTTTTGAAAGTCAACCCTCGGTGGTTCCCGTGGTTCCCAGATTTGGGATCGGACGAGAAACGGGAGAGCTTTGGGTCTTTGGGTCTTCCAAGGATCAGAGGTTTCTACATGAATTACACGAAAAACTACCAATCTTAACAAATAAACAGATGATACACAAATGATACACAGATGATACACAGATGATAAATAGATGATAAACATGTTATGAACTTCAGGTTAAATCTTCAGGCGCGTGAGACAGGACGTGTGGCAGCAACGAAGCGAGCATCGTTTCCAACCCGAAATGTGTTCAGGATCCACTTCCACAAACCATCCCCACTAGGTAGCTAGGTAGCCACCAAATGTGTCATAGTATTGCTTATATCTACAATCTAGAATCTACACATATATATATACACAAATATATGTATAATATATTAGAATATGTGTTATATATCCAATATCTCATGAAATCCCCATGGTTTTTCGTTATCTCCAACGGTTGATCCAAAGCTTCAGTGAGGTCGATTGGTCGGTCTGGTCGATCTCGGTCCGCTCGGACACAGCTGGAGAGGCTGGCAGCGACGCCTGGGATGTTCGAGACGCACCAGAGGTCCGTGATGTCCGAGATCCAGATGTTCGAACCGGACCTGAGATACGAGGCTGACTACAGGGTTTTGTAGTATGTCTATACAGGATGGTGCCCCCCAGTTATAAGTTGGTTTATAAACCCCATTAACTATAGTTATATCTACCATAAACCATAGTTATGGGAGTTATAAACAAACTTAGCTAACTATGGGGCACCACCTTGTAACATATATACATATGAACGAATATATCTATGGCAGTGTGTCAAAACCAATGGAATCCCCTGTAGTTCACATCAAAATAGCTGGGATTTATGGATGTGAATAACCCACTAAAAATGGTATTAATAGGTATTGATCCATACATATATATATATACACTTTAAGACTGCGACTGAAAAAATCAATGTGCCAAGCCAAGGTGTGTCTGTGATTGTCTGTGTCTTTCATCCTCTGGGATGCAAAATATGCAAAATGGGTTGCACAGGCGAACTAATTCTGCCAAACTGCCAGGGGTCAAACTATTCGAACCAGTGCTACTGCCATGCGAACCAGTTCCGTGCGAACCAGTTCCATGTGAGCCAATGCCTTGCGAGCCAGTGCCTTGCGAGCCAGTGCCCTGCGGAGTGTTCGCCTTCCTGTCAAGCTCTCCCAATCGAACCTCAAAGGTTGGATGTCTATGCCCCAAAAGTCAGTACACAAACCTCAAAGAGAAAAGAAAAATAAAACACATGGATTCCGTGCACTTCGTCCCTTCGTCCCAGTCGCTAAGCCCATCTTTGCAATTTGGAAGGCCTCCGAGCTCCTGACAGAATGCTCCAAATGTTTCAGGTTTTGGGTTTGCATTCGTTAGTTGAACAATGTTCAACACCTCATCAAGGGATGACTAGGGTAGATTCTGAGCAATCAGAAAGCAGCTTCGGCTCATGTTCTCAAGTCCTGACTTCTGGGCTCGCCATGGAATAGACTTTGTAGAAACACTCAAAGGCACTAGGTCGTGCATCAACATGACGGTTGATCGTCCTTGGCTCATGCTGTCTCACTGGGTAAACAAAGACACAGATTCCGTCAGATTCCGCTGCTCCGCTAGCAAACTTACTAGTTGGATATCTATATGTAGATACAATACAAATATATATATATACAAAATATATATATACATATATATATATATACATATATACATATACATATTTATATATATATACATATATATATACATATACATATATATATATACATATACATATATATATATATATCTACATATATATATACATATATATATACATATATATATACATATATATATACATATATATATATACATTTATATATATACTTACATATTTTATGTAATTATATACACATATACAAATATACGTTTTTGAGTGTGTATACATAATATAGATTAATATTAATTAATATATAATGTTAGAACTTACGTACTACAGTATATGATATAATGATAATATATGATAATATACATTGGAATAGACCAGATCAGCCCAGCATCGCTTTCATAAGATCGATTATCCCTTGAGATACTTCGGCAAACGGCTTGGCAGAGTAGGACACATCGCATTTAACCGTTCTCCTTAGTCGCCCATCACAGCAGGCATCGCAGATGAATCATGAAACCATCCAACTGATCCAAGCAGCTCCAGAGTTCCATCCTGCGTCTCTGCGGAGAAGGGTAGTTTGCCACGTAGCATAAAGTATAAAATGACACCAGCTGCAAAGACATCAACCTTTGGGCAGCCAGTTGGAACTCCAAAATTCAATGGAAATCACCATGCTACTACCATCCATATTTATCAGTTATTTATCCATATTCCCTATGAAATCAGAAAGTGTCCCCCTCTGGGACCGACCCAAAAAAGCTACGGCTTAATCGACACGTCAATCCAGATATCAACAACCAAACTCGTCGCATGGACCGGGAACACGATCTGAACATATTCAGACTTATTCAGAATTCAAGTCTTCACCAACTCCGCAGAGTTTTCCAGTTTCGCGGCACATTTTGGTTTCATTATTTCCAAGCGACTTTTTCGTTGTAAGGCTTGTGCATAATAATCTCCGGTGCTACGTAGCCTGGTGATCCAACCCGTTTCCTCATCGCCACTTCATCATCCATGTTGCAAGCCTCAGAGACCGAGGATCCGGCAACGGCTGGCAATTGCAGGGTTTTTCATAGATCCGCGAGATTCTTTTTCGCTTCTAATATGCTGTTTCAAATATGTTGTTTCAACATCTTCATATATATATATAATTATATTATTATATAAGTTCAACAAACAGATCCACATTTGGCATCCATCATCTTGAGCCTTCCCATTAAAAAACATGGGCCAAATTGGTCGCGGGAGCTTCCGCATCTTCCGCCATGATGCAATGCCGAAGTCGATCAGGACCGCTCGCTCTCCGTGAAGGACCACATTCTCTGCCTTCACATCCTGATTTTGTTCACCAGGGTTGGAAAAAAATGTGGGAAATGTAGCACCAAAATCCACCCAGAATGGATTTAAATATGATTTAAATCAATATTTAGAGATTTAAAAGATTTATATAAAGGATGTTTCTGGGTTTGTGTGCTTGAAATATCTGCAAGATTCATGCTTCGCCACATTCCCATTTTCGACTTTACTCTGGGACCTGCAGTACCTCTATCCTTTGTTTGGAGTCCGCAGATCTGGCAATTGCTTCGCCGAGCTTCTCTGTGTATGATCCTGCCAGCATGCCTTGCGTTGCATCTGCGTTTCAACTAGGTGAGGCTCAGGAACTCAACAGAAAGACATCACTGACTGAGTTGCACCACAGCCCCAGCGCTTCAGTTTCCGAGGAGCAAATAGATCAGAGCGGAGAATAGACCAATCATGATTTGCATCGCATTCTCTTGTTGGATTGCCTCATTTCAAAGAAATCTATCGAGCAAGATTCAAAAACGGCAGGAGCGATCTGCACTGCTACCCAGGTGCGACATCAGAGACCAAATCGAACCTCAGTTGATTTCAAGTTCGATGTCAACCCAACCCACATTATGCTAAGACACATTAAGACACAAGCAAACTTCAAGTTTCGAGAAGACCAAACGTCCCATTCCTCACACAAACCAAAGTCATTTCTACTTCTGACCGACCTGTTCCGCATCCGGATCCCACACCGGTTCTCACATTGGTTTCGCAAAGGAATTCCGCGGATCCAGAAGACTGTCGGCGAGAAGCAAGTCGCCACCGGGACAGAGTTCAACAACTGTTACCCATTGTGTTCTCTGCGCCATACTCCCATCTCCCAACTCACAGAACCTCACTCAGAATCTGTGGCTGTGGATATCACACTGATGTGACAAGCACCACATCATCTCAGCCTATCTCTCCATGAAATCGCAGTGCAGCCAAGCCACACCCCTAGCAGGGTACTGATATTTGGATGACCACACCTGAGTTCAGCAAATCATTTGCCATCATGACACGCTTTCGAAATGCTGCTTGGGTAGGTCCGTGCATACAGGCATTCAACTACACTCCACTTTGTTACCAGCCAAGTTGCATCTTCTGGAGAAAGCCTATTTCGGATCGTAGTGCGCTAGTGTTGCTTGAGTTCCAAACCTTTCACAAAATCAACAAACGATGCATATCATGGCGACAGTATGGCGACCTTGAACACATCATGATTCACACTTGGACAGTCATCCTTCAGCTGGCAGCATTTCAACAACCAAATAATATCATAAAAAATCTCAAGAAAAATGTCACATTGGAGAGCTTGGACGGGCGGCCTTTACTGCCACCACATCCAAGCGGTGAATTTTTCGTACGTCAAGCAATTGTGTCTCCTCCCTCATGATGAGCTGCCTCAGGCTTTGGTGCATCCATCTGGATCATGAATCCTCCTCTACTCAACATGGCCATATTTGCAGACCTGATACCCCACTTCTAAGGCATACCTGCCATTCACCGTTTATGTCTATCCTTGACATTCCAAGTTGCACATCTTGCGTATTTGCACGCGCAGTGCCAGAGAAGACCTAAAATCAGCCAGAACTGGAGACGAGATGAGTCAAAACCTCTGGCTGTCCGATATTTTTGTGGGTGATACACATCCATAGCTACCAGTGGTACCAGCCATTTTCAGGTGTTTACCAACATGCTTAGGTTTTGACCCATAGCCACCTTTCAGGCTATTTCTTCAATGTCATAGTGCTCATGCTGCAAATCTGAGAGTGGCACAGCCCCCTGTCCTCCAATTCCACAAACTTGCCTGCGACAAATTATAAATATGGCTGAGACATAGTGCGATGTCAGTTTTTTTTCGCAAAAAATGTGAAGAACTGCCCTGCCCTTGGTGTTCCCACTGTCCTACTAGTAATACTGTAGCTCTGCTTCACATCCCATCGCAAAGCCCCACGTCGGCTGAGGTTAAAAAGTAGATGCGTCCTGGGCAGGGCAAAGGATTAGTGCTTTCACTCAAAAACTCACAACAGTGGGATCTCTGCATGAGATTGCATGAGTACTGAATATTGTGTATATATATATATTATATATGTACATACACATGTAGAAATATGGATATATAGACATATAGATATAGATATATATATATATACATATAGACAAATAGACATAGAGACATAGAGACATAGAGACATATAGACATATAGACATATGGACATATAGACATATAGTCAGATAGACATATAGGTATATGTATATATAGACATATAGACATATGGACATATAGTCAGATAGTCAGATAGACATATAGGTATATGTATATATAGATATATAGATATATAGATATATAGATATATAGATATATAGATATATAGATATATAGATATATAGATATATAGATATATAGATATATAGATATATAGATATATAGATATATAGATATATAGATATATAGATATATTAGATATATAGTAGATATATAGTAGATATATAGTAGATATATAGTAGATATATAGTAGATATATAGTAGATATATAGTAGATATATAGTAGATATATAGTAGATATATAGTAGATATATAGTAGATATATAGTAGATATATACTAGATATATAGTAGATATATAGTAGATATATAGTAGACATATAGTAGATATATAGTAGATATATAGTAGATTTATAGTAGATATATAGTAGATATATAGTAGATATATAGTAGATATATAGTAGATATATAGTAGATATATAGTAGATATATAGTAGATATATAGTAGATATATAGTAGATATATAGTAGATATATAGTAGATATATAGTAGATATATAGATTTATATAGATATATAGATTTATATAGATATATAATATAGATATATAGATATATAGATATATCTATGAATTGAGAACTCAATTGTGCTTGAAGGTACACTGGTCACGCTGCAGAATCTCTGCAAACCAAGTTGCAGCTCCGGTTCGGAGCATTTCCCAACACACAACCTTACTTCAAGACATGAGCTCACTGGCACGAAACAGATTTCAACATTCCACTGGTATTTCAAACTGGTGAGATCCACTTGATACCGCATTGTTAATCACGTCACGTCAAATTCATCCATGTTTCGGTTTGCAAACCCCAGATAGCATCTGGTAATCAAAGCAGGCAATGGAAAATCAGGTATGCCTATATTCTCATTCATGTTTCCATGGTCCCAAATATGTGATGTTGGATGATCCTAACTGGTGAGACCATGATTTCTGGGTGGTGTTTTTATCCATGAACGGGGGACGGATTTTCATCGATGAATCCCCATCGATTAACAAAGGTCTTTCACTCCCATTCCAGTCAAATCCATTGCCATTCATTTCCATTGCCAAGTAATCCATCAATGTTAAAGTTCCCCCATTGATGAACCATTTGGGGATGAACTTTCCTATCCATTCATGGTAATGTTAGGGATTTACCAACTATTCTCCCACTATTCTCCCATTGAAAATCCCAAGATATATCCAGGCAGCAAAACAGTGGCGATTCGTTCGACCCAGTGACAGCCAAACATGGGAGCATTCGTCAGGATGTTCCGCCATTTCAGCGTATGGCCGGGGTGCCACAAGCACCTGACACCGGCGGAGCAGCAGAGCCTTTTGTATCTGTGAATATATATATATATATGTGATACATGTGTGTATATATATATAAAATACGTATATGACTGTATGTTGTCATAATTGCTGATTTGTTGTTACATGTGATATGTATCCGTTGTTGTACATGCACAATATGAAGGTTGTTGTTGGGAGACTACCCTTCAAAATCCTTCAAATAATCCAAATGACCAACCCAAATACATGGCCCAAGCACAACAGGTGGCCATGCAGAACAAGGAGCTACGTGCGTCGCGTATTCAGTCCGACCAAACGCGAGTCTCTTCCTGCACCAAACAGGGTGCCAAGCTCTGGTGGTTTCAGTTCGACAAGTTCGACAGTACGATGTCATAACAACGCCAAAACATCGCCTGGCGGGTTCACATACCACATCTGCCAGAAGCAGAGGGATAATTGGAACCAAATTGCTCCCGGTGATGTAGTTGATGTGAGTCTCCTCAAAAATGATGAAAAAAACCAGCTGGGTACACAAGCCTTGTCCAAATCCTCCAAGACATGCTAACATCTTCGGCCAGAATAATCAGACCAGAGTTTTCAAACATCTGCTAAAAAGTTTTTCCCAATGGTCTGCATGCCAAGGTGCATTTAATGTTAAGGCGTCGCCTTCAGGATACCTTCCCAACATGCAGCACAGATCACACACCTCCAACACTTGAATGGACATCAACAAAAAAACGCTTTGCCACAACATGTGATATCATTTGAGTATAGAATGCGCACACACACACACACTGTGTTTATATACATATATCATATATATATATATGTATATATACATATGTATGTATGTATGTATGTATGTATGTATGTACGTACGTACGTATGTATGTATGTATCTATGTACGTATGTACGTAGGTACATGGGTATGTAGGTACGTAGGTATGTAGGTATGTAGGTATGTAGGTATGTAGGTATGTAGGTAGGGAGGCATGCATGCATGCATGCATGCATGCAATGTATGTGTGTATGTGTGTATGTGTGTATGTGTGTATGTATGTATGTATGTATGTATCTATCTATCTATCTATCTATGTATGTATGTATGTATGTATGTACGTATGTACGTAGGTACATAGGTACGTAGGTACGTAGGTACGTAGGTACGTAGGTATGTAGCTATGTAGGTATGTAGGTAGGTAGGTAGGGAGGCATGCATGCATGCATGCAATGTATGTGTGTATGTGTGTATGTGTGTATGCGTGTCTGTATGTATGTATGTATGTATCTATCTATCTATCTATCTATCTATGTATGTATGTATGTACGTAGGTACGTAGGTACGTAGGTACGTAGGTATGTAGCTATGTAGCTATGTAGGTAGGGAGGCATGCATGCATGCATGCATGCATGCAATGTATGTGTGTATGTGTGTATGTGTGTATGTGTGTATGTATGTATGTATGTATGCATGTATCTATCTATCTATCTATCTATCTATGTATGTATGTATGTACGTACGTACGTACGTACGTACGTACGTATGTATGTATGTATGTATTTATATAACTATATATATGTACACATAATGAACATTTATAGATAAATATATACATATACATATATATATATGTGAATGTGTGTGAGAATTCTATACATATTCGCATTTTCGTTGTTCCTCACATGTCCCCATGGTTTTCCGACTTGCCGCCTTGCTAAGGAGCGGCTTCCGGCTTCAGCCGATAGCTCCTCGTGGCAATGGACAGCAGCATACCATACTATAATATATATATAACAACGTACTAGAACATAACATGACATGATAGGACGCAAAATGATATGACATCACATAACATGACATGGCATGACATTACATAATAATTCATTATTTATATATATATATGTATGTATGTATCTATCTATCTATCTATCGATCTATCTATCGATCTATCTATCTATCTATCTATCTATCTATGTATCTATGTATCTATGTATCTATGCATTTATGTATCTATGCATTTATGTATCTATGTATCTATGTATCTATGTATCTATGTATCTATGTATGTATGCATGCATGCATGCATGGATGTATGCATGGATGTATGTCTGGCTGTCTGTCTGTATGTATGTATGTATGTATGAATGTATATATATATAATTGTATTAATTGTATATATAATTATATATATATGTGTATACACAAACTGTGCATTTTTTGCATAGTAGTAGGGAAAACACCCCCAATTGTTTAGACCTGAAAACTCAATTTGATGGGGTCAGATTAGCGATTGTTCGATGTGATATGGCCATAGATGTTCGATCTTGAATTTAAGGGCTGTACTGCCGATGCTTCTGAGAATTCGTACTTGAATATTCCCCCTGTCTTTCCATCGTTGTTAGAAAACCAGAGACGACGATCAAGTCACCCAGTGGAACTGTTCCAGTTGAATCCAACCAACTACACAACTTCTCCAGGACATTGTGGACGTCAAAATATGTCAAAATCTCCAACTGAATGGGTTGAACCAAATTCCTCGCTTTTTTACAAGGCCTACAAGGCATGCCTTTTACAAGGCCATCCCCATGACTCTTCATGACTCGGTGTCCTGTCCAAGCACTGCCTTCTGCAGAAGGCCCCTCAAACACGCCCTTCGACTTTGCTCACTCTCTGTGAGCTGAACGCTAAGCGCAGCATCTCCACGGAAAGGCTCTGGTGTAGAGACCTGCTACAAGCTATGCAGAACACGTCGGAACATATCAATGGTAAATAATGGGTACCCAAAAAACCTGCGTTTGACTTTGGATAATCTGCATTTTGCCTATAAATATGTGATGATATGGTCCCTTTATAAACATTGTGTCATGGAAAAACCATGGATTTTGACGTTGACCGAGGTCCTGACACCTTCCAAGTGAAGCTTGTGCAGCCACACAGAGACCCGAGGAGGTGGCACTGGCGACAGGGCGCGCATGGAACGCTCTACAGCTACGCGCCTGTGCCAGGCCCTAAACACCGCTATTACACACTGCCCTGACGCTGAGATGGGTGTGGCATGGTGTGGCTTGGCAATTGCGAGGTGTGTTTTTGGTGTGTACAGGGGGCACTATCGTCATTGACAACATGTGAAAGATTGTGAAAGGGTCCATGTCTCTGTACGTCTCTCCTGTTTCCGTGTTCTTCGGCGGCTCTTGTCTGTTGGCTGCTTGCCAAGCGCGCCGATAATATGGCTGCACATTCGCACATCATGAGCAAAGACACAGAAAGCGAAAGCATCTGGAGTGTACACATTCTATGTACATCCTAGGCTTCGAGAGCCACTCAAGAATCATGGACGCTTGCTGTTAGCTCAATAGCCTTCCAAATATGATTATCAACTGGAGACTATCAAACCACCACTTCACAAAGCCACGGCAGGTATTACAAAATAGATGTAAAGCCTTATTACCGGCTCAGTCACAGCTCAAAGATGCCTTCAATGACATAGATACCTCACAACTCAAAACCTGCCAGTAGAGCAGTCTCGGAGAGCGATGCTTGAGAAACGTACCTGGCAAAATCCCTGAACATTTATGCCAGACACTTGAAATAGGACAGTGTTGGAATACAACGATATACAACATGACACAACGGGATCCAGGACTGTTGGAATCTTGGACCCAGCGGGCTCAGGACCTTCACAATTCGTCCAAGGTTAACACTTCTTTCCGCGCAATTCAGCGCTCCTACTACTGCCATGGGTTTAAAATTCAGCCCAAGGCATGGTGCTCCTACACATTCTTTGCACACAGCTTCAGCGGCAGCCGAAACTAGGCTGCAGATGGCTGCACTTTGGGACCTTCTGCAGCCGTTTTTGGAGTTTGGTGGGCAATGGCAGCTGAAGATCAACTGTTCGGCTGATATTTTGCAAGTTATTTCATTGCCAGACATAAAGGATCATCAAGGCAACCCTCCAGACCATTTGAAGCTTCCCAATCTTTCCATAAAACAGTCATTGCAATCCCAAAGACATGGACTATCTGGACATGCCTATAGCGCAAGCACTTGAAGCGTTGGTGGCATGGCATGTTTGATGGATCTGGGTGTGTGTGGATTTGTTTGTGGGTGTGCATGAGGATGCATCCATTGGTAAATGGTAAATATCTAATGGGTGTGGGTTTCTATATACCTGCAGTCTTTGGGATTAAAACATGTAAAAAAGCCATTTTGACAAGGTCTTGCGCAACTCAACCGTCTGTGCTCCCATTTGCCACTTGAGACCGTCCTAAACGGCTGTAAAATTGGATGGCTCAGCACTCACTTTCACTACGCGCAGCCAGCACCACCCTTGGCACCAACTTGAAAAATCACCGACAACTACCAACAACTATCAACAGCTATCGATCAATGACATGGTGAAATATCAATGATTCAGAATCGAGAGATATCAATTGAAATATCAATTGAGATATCTTCAGAGTACAGTTGCTCTGGGAGTATGGCTTCCGGATCACGACCGGAGCGGTCCCAGATCAACCTGAATGTGAGTGCAGCATACCAATTTCTGTTATCAGAGTTGTTTTTTTCTGTGGAAATGGTCCCAGACATGTCCAACATGTCCAACTGTCCCAGTTGAAGATCCGGTCTCCATGGAAGATCTCCATGGATTGTCCCAAGAATTTCCGTCCCAGCCTGAATGGATCCGTCCGCAGCGGCAAGGCTCCAGCACAGTCCGCAACCACACGAACGCCTGAAAAGCGACCGGCTCCACAAATCTGTCACGACCGGCTGCAAAAGATGGACATTATATCATATATTGCGACATATATCATATATACTGTATATGTACATTATACATATATATATATATTGCATATCTAATAGTGTCAATGGATAAACATGGTGTCCACTTTTGGTGCCAAGCAGCCATAGCCCCCAGAGCAAGTTGTAGGATCAAAGTACCAGAAGGTTGGTCCTGCCAGCGAATTTCCCAGTGCATTTCAACAATATTGAACAAAAGTTGTTCACAAAGTTTTTGTGTTTTTTCACAAAATCGATCTAAGATTATCTATGATCATCTATGATCATTCGTTGATCATTAAGATGTCAGTGGATGTCACTGTCCCAGACATGATGTCCCCATGGGATCCATGGATCCATGGGCCTTCCAACCATGTGGCACCACCATCAAAGGACACGCTGATGGTCACGGGCCCAGCGGGATGTGGCGGCGCGATGCAGCGGAGCCTCACAGCGTCGATATCTGAGAATCTCATAATTTAAGTACAAATATATATATATATATACACACATTCATCTATTGGAAAATATAAATATAATATAATATAATCATATTGGAGGATATAATCATATAATGTATGTGTATATATATTTCCATATATCCTCCAATAAGATTATTTTCTATGGATATCTGATAGTATATCATGCCCAGATTGATATCCATATCCATATCATAACATGTTTTCTAAGATTTTGCTTCAATGTTGGCATCCCAAAAATCCATCAGAAACTGACCGACTGCGCAGTCCAAAATCCTCCAAGAAGCTGGGAGATTCCACCCTCTGTGCCGTCATCCTCGATGGTAGCGCCCGTGATGACTCTTCCGAAGCGACACACGCTGCGATCGTTGTCCGGGAATCTCTCCTTGGGAGGGACATTGGGGGATATTGGGAGTAACTCAAGTCCTGAAAAACCAATGGGGGATGGATGAAGAAATGGGAAGACTGAGTATATTCGCAAGCCTTATATAGTACTTGCAACAATACCTCCACCACACATGACTTGCAACAAAACATCATTGTCTTCATCCCATCTGTCCAAGTTTCTCCCAAAACATGTACAACACGACCACCATCCACAGAGCATTGCTGTGGGAAGCAGCTCAGCTGTTGAAGTTGCCTTGGCATCAAAAATTTCCGCGAAAAAGTTGTTGGTTTCCGCGAAATCCACTTCTTTGCCTGCCATGTTCCCATCACAGTTGCCGCCATGGATGGTAGTTCCCCGATGAAAATGGACCCCGATTTTCACCTCCGATGATCCTTGAGGTTCCAACGAAGCCAGAGAAGCGAGGCAGTGGAAGACGGAGCCGTCGCCAACACCCATCTGACCTGCAAAGAGAGTGCCACAATGTGCCACAAACAACTCTGAGTTGACAACTGGTGAAATGCTGAAACTGCAGTTTCACTGTTTCTTTTCGATACGTTTCAACTACAGTATTTGGTGTGTGCCATCGGTGTGTCCTATAATATAGGATTACATCTTTGTATGACTTTGTCTGAAATCATGATTTTCCCATTAAAAATGGTGATTTTCCTATTAAAAATGGTGATTTTCCCATTAAAAATGGTGATTTTCCCATTAAAATGGTGATTTTCCCATTCATTAAAATGGTGATTTTCCCATTAAAATGGTGATTTTCCTATGTGCAAGTTTTGTGAAGTCATCCTGACCACTTAGCACAGCAACTGAGTGGTTTCTCATCGTCTTCGCTCGGCAACAGCTGCCCATTATAGACAAGCTGCAAGGACAAGCCTTGGGCGCCCATGGCTCGTGATGTATATATGTATTGTACACATGCATAATAGACATATATATATATGTATATATATAATTATATATAATTATATATAATTATATATAATTATATATAATTATATATAATTATAATTATATATATATACATATATTACTATATCAATCAATATGTGTATATGTATATGTGATTATATATATATATGTATCATGGTATACATCATGATGTAATCCTTTAGGAGGAAACGGGCAAGGTAAACTAAAGGTGTTTCTTGTTCACAGCTGGAATTTCCAAGTATATCCAGCAATGTCCAGCATCGTTTGACACCATGATGGCTGGTACTATCCCAATGTGGGTTTGTCTCAAATATCGTACCCCCAAATCCCCCAACCATAAATTGGGTATAGCAAAACCAGAAATATGATAATATATATATATTATTATATATTATTATATATATATATATTATACATTATATATTATATATTATATTATATATATATGATAATCATTATATCTGGTATTTAATCATTATATCTGGATATATCTGGTATTTCAAATAGGGTACCCAAAAAAATGTCCCCTTTTCAACATCCGACAGGTCCGACAGGTCTCTGTCTCGCTTTCGGCTGCGCTTTGAGATCGGAGCCTCACTGGATCTGTGAAGCTTCGAAGTGGTGAAATGCGCAAGGATCATTCACTGACACTGAATGGATTCAATAGGGATAGATCCTGATAGATCATGATAGATATCATATAATTGTATATTATTGAGATGATTGAGATGATTGTATATTTACAAGATTATACTTATTTCCAGTTCATTCCATTTTGACACAGGAAATCAATTCTCATCCTGCGGCCAGAGCTACATCCTCTTGCACCAAGCGCAGCGCGATCAGTTCCCGTAGTTGCTTCCTTGAGAAGGCACTTCTGGCACGCTGGGCGTGAAGGATATAAAACCAGAAGTTGATGGGGAAACCTATGGAAACCTTGTAGTTATAAGAATTGGAATGGAACAAATCTGCTTCGAATTCCAAATACGTTTTGAGAGCAAGCTTTGGGTCGGTGGCGCAGATGAATTCCCCGCAAGCTATTGCTTGAAGAAGGATCAATTGAGTGGCTTCCAGCACGCAGAGCTTCATCTCTTGCTTCTCAGGAGCCTCTCGCCAAGATGACATGATCACAAGTTGTAGCATTGTATCAATGACATGTTGCTTCTCCTACCACTGCAGACCACTGCATGAAAATGAAAAAAAAATCATGGAAAAACGAGTCTGGCCTTTGCGGCTTGCCTCTCTCGCACATTGATGCGAACCCACATCAGATTCAAATCAGATTCAAGAGATTCCACAGGTGGGGCAACGTGTTGCACCTCTCCGTCAGCCCTGTGCACTATTGCAACTACTGTATGATTCTTGAGCTCTGTGCAATGATGGAGTGATGAGTGATGTATATCATGGCATGTGAAACATGAAGTTGTGCTGTTCATACGCTGTTCATTGATGTCTTCCGAAATGATCCTGAAAGTTGGGCGGGCGGCGAAGTTTCCGTGTTCCTCTGCATCATCCAATCATCCGAATCATCCGAATCATCAAATGCTTCAGGCCCCGAATAAACTCATATGATCGATGAAAAATCCATGTGGAGATTCGCAGGTGTCGCACCAATGGCAGGCCCCGCAGAAGCACGACACACGCACCTGCAAAGAAATCGAGCCGCATCACCGGGGCAGAGGATTAAGTGGAAGAGAATCGATGGCAGAATGCATTCCATGATGTTCCATGATGTTCCATGCATATCATGCATGCTGCACTTTAAGCTTCCAAGATGTCCAAGGCTTCCAAGATCCAAGGGGTTAGTTTCTGAGTGCCAGACCAGATTTCGGCAGCGTGCCCATGCTTCGTATCGCAGATCCTCCTGCCAATTGGCCAAAGCTCTCACCACGTCTGGCCGGAGTGCTGCCACCTCTGGCAGGACTTGTCTTGGAACAAGCTTTGTAAATGCCCTTCAAAGCGGTCGAAAATGACAGCTATGCTTGAGTGTATCTCACTATATCTAGATGTATCAGACATATACAAATATGTATATAATAGATATAATCTATATATACGTATATAATTCATCATAATTCAACATAATTCAATAAAAAACATCAGCTTGAATGCCATGACTTCTCACTTCACTGCCATGGCCCATGGATGCCCATGGCCCTAAGACACCAGCCAGGAGTTGTGAACTCACGTAGGACAACGCGCTGTAGATGTCCTGGCGGCGCTGTCAAAAGTGGGGTATGCACAACATCCATACCATCCCCATATATCCCCATAATTGGGCTTTATGATTCGCTTAAATCATGATCATGATAAATCCATATATTAAAATATATTAAACATGTCGGTGCACCAGGTGGTAGCTTTCGGCCACCAAGGCAAGAACCGCACCAATCGCCAAGCCTACGACATCAGCAGTGACAGCTACAGCTACAGCCAGTGACGGCCAAGGCCTCCATGTCGCATTGCTCGACCTGGCGGAAGCTTAATCGTTTGTAAGGAAGAAAAAGGAACTGCACAAACAATCACGAACATACACTAACTACATCTAACGACTGCATTTGGTCATGGTGAATCAAATCTTCGGGAATTCCATGGAATTCCAATACAACTAATACAACTTCAAGGGGAAAGTCCGCCGTGCCTTTCAATGAGCCATTTCTGTCAGACACCTACAAGCACCGAGGGACAAAGACCACGCTGCACAAGGCACGACTCGCTTTGCTATGATTCGACTCGATAAATTCTGACCTTAGCATAGCCGTCAACGAAAAGGACGATGCCTGCAAAAGGACGATGCAAAATCTGAGGGTCTACCGGGTCTTCCGCAAAGCAACGCTTTTGCGAATTCTGTGAGATGGATTCTCAAGATCCAAGTCGCAGTCCGAACCTCGCGCAGCCTTTCTTTCCCGCTCCGATTCGCGGTGATGCTCCCCCGCTTTGCGGAACAAATATGGCCAACATGATCTAACAGAATCTAACATGCCTGTATCCAGGCACCAATGCTTTCACCCCCAAAGCACTCCCACCGGAATCTCCTGGTTCCAAAGAAGCAAGGGTTGGACCTATGTTTGGACTCTTCTCAGGCTGAAAGCGTCATCATTCCAGAGAATTCCAGAGACTCCAATCTAGATCATGTCTGATCATTTCACAAAATTTCTGTGTTTTTTTGGATCCAGGATTCCACAAACAGTTCGTTCCAACACTCACAGAGTGTTCCATTTTAGGCCATCCGGGCCATCAGTGGCACATCGGTCTCAAGCCAGTCGGCGAGCCTGCGATCGTTCGCACGATTCAAAATCACCGCATCACCGACCCAGGTGGAACACCGAGCCTTCAGATGGCCACGACCCAAAGATAGCCACTTGATGCTGTCGCTTCCCAACAGCCTGTCGAAAAAATGTCCAGTTGAATGTCACAGGAGACCAAACGGATCCATTTCGATGAAACATGATATCCACAAACCTGGACTGAGCGGACCTGAGTGAGCCAGCATAAAGAGCCATGTTGTCAACCTGTCGGACAGCACTTCCAGGTATCCTCTTGTAATCAAACGTAGCAATGGAAAATCCTCTATCAAAGGAGGTTTTAATGGGAAAATCATGGAACAAAATGGGAGATATTCCATTGCCATGTTTGATTACCGGAGGGTATTTCATGGTATGTCCTTATCTTTCCCTGACCCACTAGTGTCTTGCCAAAGATTGAGGTACCCCCGATCATCTTTGTCCAAATCCATCTCAAGCATTCTCAATCCATGTTCCATCTGCATAAAATAGGTGGTATATCCCCAAAATAGGGGATTATCACCATGTACATACATACATATATGTATATGTACATACACATACATAGTCATAATCCATCAAACTATATCCTGATAATCTTCATCCTTGTCCTGCCTCATCTTGGTCCATGGCATCTTCTGCCTGCACGTGTTGGCCGTGTTTGTTTTCGTCGGCGCTTAGCGCGGCAGTGACCATGCGCAGAGGCCTTGGCTGAAGCTGCCGCTCTACATGGATTCATAAGTGGATTGAAACGATTTTACTTGGGTATATCGGATGTATCCAATGATATAATATGATGTTATATAATGCAACACAACATAACATAAGATGACATAACATAAGATAATATAATGTAATATAATATGATATAATACTATTTAATATAGCATAATATAATATAGTATAATATAATATAATATGATATAATATATTATAACATAACATAATATAATATAATATCAAGATGAATTATATATATATGTTTTTTGTTTGAATACAATATGATATAATCTAATATGATATAATAAAATAGAACATACTATCATACTATCATTACTATTATGTGTACATATATATATATGTACATATACACGGTGACACGTATAACTGGGTGAACTAACCATGATGTTCAAACCTATACAAAGTGGGGATGCACATCCAAGGAGCATAGAAGGCTCCAGCATGACTCCAACCTTCTTCTGGCCAACCTGGCAAATTCCCCAAAAACTGCAGAAAGTCAGCCTCAAAATCATCAAGTGAATGTGAATTCATTATTTGAGTTTGTCCAAAACCAAAGTATACATAAATCATAAACTACTGGATTTTGGGGATACTGCAGATACCTCATTTCCAGTGAAACCGAAATACGGCGCCTCAAAAATTTCATGTCCCCATATCTTGGTGCAATCCCATGACTGAAAACAACCAAAAATGAAGAAACATTGGGAAAATCAATCATCTATTCATATCTATTCACTATAATTCACTATAAAATGAAAACCTAAAATGCCATTTCTGTTGATCAACAGATATTTTAAAAAGATGTTCTGTTGGGATCCTCCCCATCAGCTTCCACACCCCCACCTGGATGGCTTGAGTTCTGCGACCCAAACCTCCACGGCGTAGCACCTATGGGACCCAGTGGCTGGCTCACTTTGAGTACTAAACTTGATGCTTAGATCATTTTTCATACTTACTGAGTTCACTTGAGGGTAAATAGTTGTGAGTCATGATGATTATATAATTACAAGATATTGTAAATCCAGGGGAGTATCACCGTGGATCATCAAAAATCCTATCAACCAATCAACAAATCATGAACAAGTGAGATGAAAAATCATGGGCAAATCAATGCTGGCAAATCAGCTGGTCTATCATCATTTTCCTTTTGAAACTCTCAGAAGTTTGGGGCCCATCCTCATCATCCTCCACTCTTTCTAGCACCCAAAGATCCTATCAAGCTGGTTCTATCCCATTAAGACATCCCATTAAGACATCCCATGAATATATCCCATTAAGACATCCCATTAAGACATCCCATGAATATATCCCGTTAAGACATCCCATTAAGACATCCCATGAATATATCCCATTAATACATCCCATTAAGACATCCCATGAATATATCCCACTAATACATCCCATTAAGACATCCCATGAATATATTCCATGAATATATCCCATGAATATATCCCATGAATATCCAATTCTTCAGGCGAAACCCTGACATGGAGCCATCGCCTCTCGCTCAAAATCCGTAAAGATCTGCCGCGCACGTGGCACCCGCCAGACTGCCGGGAGGTAGATCCTGGTGCGCCAGGCGTATGGGGGCTATTAAAAATCTATCATAATTGATATAGCCCCCCTTATGAATAGTTGTTGTGATCATTTCTTATCATTAAATTCACAATGATCATAATAATGACAATGACAGTGATGATGATTAATATGAATGATCATTATGTTGTCAACAGATCCCGAGGACGAGGCATGGATGGTTGGGATGCTGCGTGGCAGCACACCTGCAAAGCGAAGGGGCACAGATGTTCTGAAATATCCCAGGGGATCTCAGTTGGAAACGCGCAGGAAATATGTTTCAACTTGTTCAAACATATTTTCGAACAAGTTCTCCTGTTCAGGAAGAGAAGAGGGCTAAACCATGCTAAACCACCATCACGGTGGAGAATTCCCGTGTTTTCACTTTGGTTACCATCAAAGGCCACAGTGGCTTTGCAGCCTTGCCTCCTTGGGCAGTGGAAAGCCCAGCTCCCGCAAATACAACTGCTCCTGCCGCGACAGGAAGTCTCAGAATCCAACACCAGCTGCCCCAGCTGCGAAGCTGCCATAAGTGTCTCCCAGTGTCCTTCTGTGACAGCGCTGTTGCCATTTTGGGATTCGAATACGTGAAGAAAACCTCAGAAAACGCAACACCTGAACTGAACTTGGGGGCAAAGTCCATTGAAGGCAAACAATATCACCTTCCATGCTATGACATGCCACGATTGCACATCAAGGATCAAACGACTTATTCACACAAAAAAACATAGAGTCCGTGAAGAGTTTGTTTCCTTTGAAAAAAAAAACGAAGTGTCCTTAGGTGCACCTTCCACAGTGGCAGTGTTTCCATTACTGAGGCCAAGATGCCAGAGTGTAACGACGTCCACTGAAGGGAGTCACCTTGGCCCCGGAGCAACTCAGCCGATTTTTGGGGCTCTGACACCGGGTCGACTCTTGGTCTCCGGCACAATGAGGCTTCCGGCCGTCAAATTTGAACCACTTGTTCCTCAAGAGATCATTTTCGCAAAGCCACTGAATCCTGGGATTTGGTGAAAATCAGGATTCAAATATGAACATCTTCAAATTCGTTAACTTGCGTCCACTTGCGTCCACTTGCGTCCACTTGCGTCCATTCCGTGCGGGCTCCTGATGTTTTTGGCCCGACCCAATTTGCTGCCATCATCCAGCCACAGCCAACCTCCAGAATAGTCGCCTTCAACTGCAACAAATGTCTGATAAAAAAAACACCGATGAATCGATAAAGATCGATGAATCGCCTAGTCCGATGATGTACGAAGGTCCAAGGTTGTTCTTGTCCACGTGCATAGCGGCTTTGTAATCCTCCAGGAATTTTTGCAGGTCAACTTGGACCTCCATCTCTGGAGCAGTTCACCGAGCCTTGTTCACTTGGATGGAGGAGAATTCAAAGCCTGGCAACTCCTGTTGAGCAAATCGGCAAAGCAGGGATGTGGTCGAAGGCCTGTCAATGCGCGGGTAGACAACTTTCATCCAGAAATTAAATTGCCATTATATTCTCATATTATTGTAGATACATGTGTGTGATATGATCTGAAATATTACAACTCAACACTTGGATCTTCTCGCCTCCAACGTGTAGCAGCAGAGATCTTTGCACCCTGCCAGCTCTGTCTGGAAGACAAACGTGAAAGCGGCATCCACAACCAACCAAAATGGGGGATCTAACCAACAATAATTGGGATTCTAAATCGGATAGGTAAAATGGGTGTAAAAAATGGTGGGAAAAGAATGATCTCCCACTGATTTGGTTGTAGACCATCCTGTCTTTGGCACCCGAAGTTCAACCCCATACCGAATTGAATATGTGTAAATATAAACCTGTATATATCTGTATATACAATATATAATATTGCATTATATTTATATCATGTATAATATAATATATATATTAATAAACTTATTAATACATTGTTACACACATTGCCGTCTTCGCTTTCAATTTCATCTGTCTTTCATGTTCGGCTGAATTTGTGAACCACAGTGGCCTCCCGGATCAATTCAGCTGGATCAAAAACCCCCATGGAATTCCATTGAAATCCATCCACCCACAGCTATACATTTATTCACTATTATTAGCAATGTACCATGTCTTAATCATTACTACATTGCCAATGGATCATATCAATTACTCAATTATTCCATATCAAACAGAATCAAACACCTCAATTCTAATGGTCCCAGTGATATGGGGTTTCATCCCCCATTGGCCCTACATCCACTATGGTTTTTGGGGGGCGTTTGATTTTTTATAGGGAGAAGGGATTATATTCCATGGCATGGTGATTATACCATCATTATAGCATTATTCCCATTGAAATCCGGTCCTTTCCCCATATCATGAACATTCCCTAAATTCCAATATTGTTGGTCATATATCCGTGAACATACCATTCTATCTCCATACTGGCTGGTATACTCTGTTTATATTCCCAGTATATAACCAATAACATCCAATAACAACATGAACATCTCTGCAAATTCCCCAGTTCTAAATTTAAAATTCTTATTGATATATCCCATATGTGCCCATATATAACACAACAACAATAAAACAATAAATTCCAGCCATTATGGAGATAGAATAACAGTATATAACCATTACATTACATTCCCAGTATATATCCAGAGATATAACCAATAACAGTATTAAATAACAAAATTCCCCGGTAACTTCTCTGCCGCACCTTGGTCCAATGCGAGGTAACACCCAGGCACATGCCCAAGACTCGTGACGTGTCGTTGAGCTCTCTGACCTGAAATGCGTTGATTTTCTGCCCCCCAAAAAATTGGGAAATCCGTGATTCTAAGGATCGATCCATCATAAAGTTTCATAATCCGGTTCTTGCTTCAAATGTTTGATTCAACAAGTTTGATGGTATATTAGAACAAGAACAATCGGATTTGATTGGATTAAAAGGTAAGAAGCATTAAGAAGAACATTTTGTCTGCATCCAAAAAGAGGGGGACCGCGCACATGTTTCATTCATCAAATTTTGGGCAATATGTTAAGTCTTACCAAGCAGCATTTTGACGACGGCTTTCAGGAATATCCTGACAACAATAGCCCAAAGGCTGGGGAGATAAAGACTCGGTATCTTGAAAGAATTGAGTGTGACGAAACATGGGCCTTTTAGTGGTTTTGGAAACCAATGAAGAAATATACCTGTGAAGTGCCAAAGAAAATGTGGAAGAAACCGGAAAATAATTGGGACGTCTTTGGAAAATCTGGGGAAACCACTGTGGCATCTTTCTTCTACCATTTCCAGCCGCCGTTCCTCCGCTTCAAGTGCTTCCAGCACATCGTCCAGACCTTGTTGGTCGCCAGGATCTGCAAAACTGTACTGCAGAGTGTATGATGGTTTATAATGATGATATAATGATGATATAATGATGATGTAATGATGATATAATGATGATATAATGATGATATAATGATGATATAATGATGATATAATGATGATATAATGATGATATATGATGATAATCATCATAATCTTATGAATATGTCTACAAGTCTACAATAATCATGATAATCGATGAAAGCATAAGGATCCAACTGATCTTCACTGGTGCCAAAGGGGCGACAGGGGCCACAGGTGCTGGTGCCAAGGCTGCAATGGAGACACCTTTGCGGAGAATTTCATGATGAGCCATGGTCAAAGATGGTGAAATCACATTCAAATCATTCAAATCACCAGATATGTCTGACTGCATCTCATTTGGGCTACCCTCTGGTAAACTAACATAGGAAAATCACCATTTTCAATGGGAAAATCCACTATTTCTATGGTCATTTTCAATAGCTATGTTAAATTACCAGAGGGTATATAAGTAATTATA